TAAAAAAGTGTACAAAAGAAATCCGTAAGTACGCCTGGCAACATTACCAAAGTCTTGTTTATATGTTGCTAGGATACGCTTAGGTATGCGGGCCGCTGTATTTGATTCTTCCTAAAATTCTGCTGGTGGTGTACTCTACCGGCAATTCGGAAATTTAAAACTGCTGGCCTATTCCAGGAGCGGTCTGTGGCGATAGCTATTTTGTCTGTGGTTGTACCATGTACAGAGAGTGCAACACCTACAACCCGAAGATTATGCTAAGCTTATCTAGTTTTGTCGATGGATCAATAATAATCTTCTTGTTGTATTCCCCATACTTTTTACGGATGAAGTGACATTCACTCGTGACAGCATAACTAATACTCTAAACTCACGTCACACTTGAAAGTAATTTTCAGCAAAGGCTTTCGGTAAACATGTGATGTCGTATGATCGATAGCAGTTATTTAATTGGCCCTTTCATTTTGGAGAATCGACTCACAGGAGACCACTACTTATTTTTTTTACAAAATGAATTACAAGTACTACTAGAGAATGCCCTTATAAGCATGAGAATGCGTATGTACTACCAGTACGATGGAGCTCCTGGACATTTTCCTCGTCGAATCAAGCTACATTTGAAAGAGAGGTCTTCAGGGCGTTGGATTGGCCACGGTGGTCATATTAGTTGGCCCCCAAGATCTCCAGACCTCACAGCACTGGATTACTGTTTACTGCTTTAAAAATGAAGTAAATCAGGCTTTACTTTCGCCTTTTAACTGCTCTTTTAAATATCTAAGCAAAAGGGAACTGAAGAATTGTTTTTAATATCATGCTGCATTGAATTAAAAATCCTAAATCATTGGAGTGGGACTAATTTTTTTTAAAGTTAAAGTACCTCCTGCCAACTCTCCTACTCCGTATTTTGTGTACAATTTGATGATCTTTTTGTGAATAACAATAATGTTACACAAACTGATAGCATTCCCACCCGGAAAAAAAGAAGTGTATCCGTTATTTTAAAAATGAACAACGAAATCCGGAGCTGCCGCCGTCGTGACCGTAGCCCGAATCCGGCCCCGGCTCTCATGATGAATGCCTTGCCCGAAAAGCGGCCCTAATCTTCTGCATCGCCACGAACACAATTACGGTCCCCGGCGCCCCGCTGCCCCCAGCCGTCCCCCAGCCACCCCTCGCGTCTACAACTTGCAAGCGAGTCGAACACGCTGTATTTATTCATCTCACTTTCTCTCCATTGTACACTTTACTGAGCCGCTACCATAGCAACGTACATCCAAGCAAAACGCCGCCGCCGCCGCCGCTTGGGTCCATTTTAAAGTTATATCTTTCATGGAAATTATATTCCACTACTGCACGAGATACTACCGCCGCCGTTGCCTGCTTCATGCCGCTCGGCGGAAACTTTATGCTTTCTTACATGTCTGCATTTTTAAAACGAGTGTATCCGTGTCTTCTTGGAGCAAGGGCGCCGGTTATAATCAATTTATTCAACGGAAATTTCTGTTATTCTTTGTTCCATCACCTCCTCTCATTGTGTGATAAATATTGGTTCGATATTGTTATTGTTTTGCGGACAATACACAAGGTGATCACTTTACTAACTGTTCGATGATTTATTAAAAAAAGTTGATTCAAAAAAATTTCCTAGGCTGTCGGCAAATGAAGTTATACAGGGTGTTTTTAAATGAAGTAGCAAAAATGGTACCAGTGAATGTACAGCCAAAAATAAGAGGATTGAAATAAAAATACCTTAGATGAGGCGATATACTCTCTTAAAGGAGGGGACTGAAATTCACATTTTAATTTTTTTATTTAACATGAGGAATGCTAGAGAAACGAAACTTGGTATGAGCATCCTACTAATAAAGAAACAACTTTTCAATATGTGTTCGATCATTGGCGTATTTTATGAAGGAGTGAAACAGTCAACCCCATTGCAATATTTTATTAGAAATTTTTTATATGAAGCAAATTATTTATTTAAAAATATTTATTGCGCAACTATTTTACCTCTTATAATTTTTCGATAAAACCGATAGTTTTCTAGTAAAAAAATAAATGCGTCATCGTTCACTAAAGGGGTAATTGCGAAAATTTGTAAAAATAAAGTAGGCGGATGTCATAACAAATAAATTGTTTTATCCACGACTATTGTATAATGTACCCATTATACGTCTGTTTGCTCGACCTTATTAATTCTTATTAATCACGGCAGTGATTAATGAGTCATTAATCACTACTGTCAGATGCTTCCTTGATTTAGCTATAATATATTGTTCTGCTACAATCAATCGGTTTTTAAAATTTTATCGTATAAACCACTAAATATTTTCAATTCAGTGCTGTACATATAAAAAAAAATTAAAAAAGTGAATTTTCCTAGACCAGATTCGAATCCGGGACCCGCGGTTGCAAGGGAATGAACATCTACACTGAGCCATCAGCGACTTCGTTTGTGCGTGTCGTATATCTGTTTCTTAACATACCGTGTTTTTCGAAGCATTTCATAAATCTTAGCTTTTAAAACAAAACAAATTTGACTCAAACATGTCAACATTATTGTTTGTGTGCATAGATTTCTCAGTGTTTTGATATTTTGTGTTAAATTGTGTTAAAAAACGAACTAAAAACAAAAAAAAATTCAACAAAAATATTTAGTAGTCGTGGATAAAGTATAGTATTCTACTCCCGTATAATAGCTATTATCCACTCGGTGATTTAGGCCACTCGCCTGCGGCTCGTGGCCGTAAACTTCACCTCGTGAATAATACCCATCATTATATGCTCGTTGAATAATATACTAATTTTTCATATTAATAAATTGACACTTCTGTCAATAAGCTGGTAATTAATAACATTAAGAATAATTTGCTATTAACTATTGAAAAATGTTTGATAACTTATGGGACATGTATTAGGTAAAGTTATTTATCTGAAATAAAATTTAATACAAACGAAAAACAAGAAATGCAAAATTAAATTTAAAGAATATTCTCGAAATAATTTCCATTTTGCTGCAAGCATAAAATTATACGTCTATTAAAGTTATAACGCACTCGCACAAACAGTTCTTGGTTATTACGAAGGTCATCTGCTGCCTGAAATATTCTTGAGCGTAGTTCTTCTAAGGGGGCAACAGGAGTGACATAAACAATACTTTGTATGTGTCCCCACAAAAAGAAATACATAGGTGTTAGGTCAGGTGAACGTGCAGGTCAACAAACAGGAGCATCACGACCACGACCAATCCACCGATTCGGGTAATTTAAATTTAACCATTCTCTAACGTCAAGTGTAGTATATGCAGACGCCCCATCGTGCATATATCATATCACCTGACGTGTAGCGAGGGGTACATCCTCAAGTAATGTTGGAAGATTTTCGTTCAATAATCCAATATACTCGGCCGCTCTAAGCCTGTGTGGAAGAATAAAAGAACCTACTAGAGTATTTCCTACAATTCCCATGCAAACGTTTAAACTGAAATTATGTCGACATCTTGAAACAAATATTTCATGAGTATTTTCTTCCGACCATGAATGAACATTATGAGGGTTTACTGCATCTACTTTAGGAAAATTTGCTTCATCGGTGACAAGTATATTCAATAGGAAATTTAAGTCATGCCGGGAAATATTAATATACCATTGATAAACATCCACGCGGTTAGATAAATCAGGGTCATACAATTCTTGCACGGGTTGATGGTGAAAAGGGTAATAAAGATTTTCATGAGCTACATTCCACACAAGACTGTGAGAGACTTGCAGTTGCCTGGACACCTGTCTTGTGCTTGTACCACACAGTCTTGTTCGGGATATTCCAGTATAGCTCAGTTTCAACAGTTCGGACATTACGCCTTCTTCTGGCACCCTCACTATTGGGCTGAATTTTACCAGTTTCGCGAAGCCTTCTTTTCACAGAGGTCAATGTTTGTCTATGAGGAATCGGTCGGTTTAGATATCTTTGGTAGTATAATCTTTCTGCAACGTTACTATTTTTTCTGGATTCGAAAAACACTTGGAGCATGTCGACATATTCGTCAATGGTATAAATATTATTTGCCATAATTATTCTGATAATAAATTAATCAATTGGTACTAATTACACGTTGACAGAAAGTGTCAATTTATTAATATGGTAAATAACAATTTATTAGTTATGACAGCCGCCTACTTTATTTTTACAAATTTTCGTAATTACCCCTTTAGTGAACGATGACGCATATAATTTCTTTTCTAGTAAAAAATTGCACAATAAATCAATCTTCCTAATAAATATTTTTAAATAAATAATTTGCTTCGTATAAAAAATTTCTAATACAATATTGCAATGGGGTTGACTGTTTCACTCCTTTATAAAATACGCCAATGATCGAACAAATATTGAAAAGTTGTTTCTTTATTAGTAAGATGCTCATACCAAGTTTTGTGTCTCTAGCTTTCCTCATGTTAACGAAAAAAATAAAATCGCCTCAGGGGAGCAACTTTCATATAAAGTATTTTTATTTCAATTCTCTTATTTTTGGCTTTACATTCACTGGTACCATTTGTGCTACTTTATTTAAAAACACCCTGTACATAGTATCATCTGAAATAGTTGTATATATATGTTTATTTATTGGTACAGCATTTACAAGAAAAATAACAAAAATAACGCATCTTGTTTAAGATGGGTTCCCAACGAAACTTTTCGCATTTTGCTTTCCAAAAATTAGAAAAGTGTTAGTAGAATACACGATAAATTATTGATATTATAAAAAAAAATACTTAATTTAAAATTATAGTATAATTGTTGATTCAAGGTAATAATTTATTGTGTGCATATTTTTAATGTGTCTTTCAGATTTGACAAATAATAATTAAGTGTGAAAGTACAAGTTATTTTTTCTTGTAGGAAGCCGATGGTCAAAAAACAAACAATGGCATCCAGTACAGGCTCCAGCTACTTTTCGCTAATGGTAAGTAACTGATTGTTTAAAATTTTTAATAGCATATAATAGCAATAAAACGAAAGTACACAAAAAGTGACAGAAGTCGTTTCCATATCTGAGTTTTGCATTACATCTGCGATAATCAGTGTTCGTCTTAAAAACTTTTTATTTTTCTCATATTTTTTTTTATTACAAAAATTATGTTATTTATCATTCTCCTTCATAGAATCTAAAGAGACATTTTAGAACAGCGCTGTATATGCCTTACCTAACCTAACTTAATCAAACCTAACCTAACTTTATCTAATTCATGTTCATCTGTGGACAAAGTCAAAAGTTAATGTCAGGGAATAAATCAACGTAGTAGGTCACTACAAAATGATTATTTTAGAAACCTTTTACAGTGACCATCGAATTAATTAAGGTTTAGGCTTATCCACGAATTTTGAAGGTTGTGGATAGACAGGATTCAGGTGCATTGCGGTTGACACCATCTGCTCCAGATCTAACAAATTCGGTATTTCTCACTATTACTGACTCCATTTTATTACGTTCATTCTTCTGTTATAACAGTTTAACTAACAATTCGTTTCTTTTTATGGTACGTGTTCAGAGATCTGTCGGCGTCGACCTTGCTGCCCTCTAATCGCGGAGGGCCTGAGCTTTGAATAATTGTACTTTTAATACATATACAATGTTTCCAATATTTAAATAAACAGTTTTCTGTCAAACTTTTTTATTAACATTAACTATACAGGTTTTAGCAGCGCGGTCTTCAAACTTTTACGACTTGCGCAACCCAGCTAGCATTTCGTTTTATTGAGGAATCTCCATACCTAAAAAAAATTTCGAAAATATTTTTTACTGATTATATAATGTACCTATTTATAAATATTACAATTAACAAAATAATTATTCCACTATGTAAAAATCAAAAAAGACTAAAGTTTAAAGTAAATATTTATTGAATAATTAAAAAAAGGGTAAATAGAATCGATGACTGGAATGTGTTTGAATATTTTTACACAATATGTTGAAATCAGGTGCAATTGTCGTAAGTTGCAATCGCATTCTTGTAAGATATAAGCTGAGTGCTTGCAAATGCTTAAATAGATAAAAAAATTATTTCTTGCTAAGCTCTTATAGTAACTTATACGCGTGTACTTACAGATATAACAAGTTTTAAGAGTATAATTTTTCTGGATTTTGCAGTATCGATATTGTTAACTTTGATAATAATATGCTATTTCTTTAGGTTTTGTTTGTGACAAAAATACTAGTAAACAGACTGTGCCATCATATAAAAGAACAATCTGCTTACTACAATTTAACATTAATTAATTTTTTATAAACATTTTCAATCAAAAAAACGCATTTTTTTAGTTTCTTTGCCTATAAAACATAAACTAACGAAGCAATCTGAATGCTATAAAGTGATAATTTGTAGAGAATCGAAATACGAACAAAACGAGAGGTTATATGTTCTTTAAGTATGCACAAAGCAGGCGCTGTCGGACCATTAGTTTTGGAGCAATTGCAATTGTCAAAGTAGCTCAAAAAATAGGAGTAAGCTTACAATAATTCGCATAAAGCTGAAAATTGGTACGAATGTTGAGAACGCCATTATAAATGAAATGTGAAAAGTCCCCATCGATCCCAGTTCTGTAAAAAAAAATTATTCAACGTCAAAGTTCGAAAATATGGAAAACAGAGCTTTTTCAACGTTTTGAATCGTTATATGTCAGAAATCGTGATTCGTAGGAAAAAAGTACAAGAATCTACAATTTTTGTCAGACCTCTTTCTATGATAAAACTTACGGTTTAGCTGAAAAATGCAATATTTGCGAATTTTGACCTTGAATTATTTTTTTTGCAGAAGTGGGGTCGATGGGGATTTTTCACATTTCATTTATAATGGTGTTTCCAACATTCATACTACTTTGACAATTGCAATTGTGCCAAAACTAATGGTCCGACAGGGCCTGCTTTGTGCATATACTTAAAGAACATATAACCTCTCGTTTTGTTCGTATTTCGATTCTGTACAAATTGTCGCTTTATAGCATTCAGATTGCTTCGTTAGTTTGTATAAGCAAAAAAACTAAAAAAATTGGTTTTTTTTTTTCATGAAAATGTTTATAAAAAAATTAATTAATGGTAAATTGGAGTAAGCAGACTGTTCTTTTATATGATGGCACAGTCCGTTTACTAGTATTTTTGTCACACACAAAACCTAAAAAATAGCATATTATTATCAAAGTGAGAAAAAAAAATGTGAGAATATTTGTACTTTAATATCACAAACCAACAGAGATAAATTTTTTTATAAATTCTGTAAACATTTGTACGCAGAATGCACACACAAAAAAAATGAGAAAAAAGTTAACAACATTGCATAACCACTTCAATGCTGTAAATAAAGTAAATATTGTTTACTCTCCCGGAGAAAGTTTTTAACAGGCCGTCATCAGCGAGAGCCCGGCAAGGAGCGAAATCAGTTTTCCCGCGGTGGTCGCGGAGGTTGGGTGGGAAGCCGTCATTCCAGAAAAGTCGCACGTGCTGCTGAAATATTTATCACCGGCGTAAATCAAACGGCTAATGCCGAGCCGAGCCTTCTACCGGTCCGGCCACCGTCTTGCCGTTTATGTAATAATGAGAAACTGCTCACATACCGTCCCGAGCGCTTGTACACGCAATTAATTAATTAGTTTGGTGAATGGTTTATCAATTGTCAATTACTTCTATCGCCGGTCGGTCTTGCCTTTTGCGACCGGCCAGAAAAACTCTATTTACACTTTAGCGCAGTAAGGAGCTGGGCGTATATGGTAGCGGACGGCGGTGGCACGCAGCAGGAATTACAAATCGTGGCCGAGGTGGACGCGCGGTCTTTAATTAGCAGGATAATTATCCGATCGGTCAATCAGATCGAGTGGAGGCTTGTACGGACGTAGCGAGCGCATTTCTGCGCGTTTTTACCAAGATTTGTGGGTCTGGTACTCAGTTAGACGGGCATTAGTCAAGAAGTCCCTTATACGGCGCCAGAACCATTTCTAATAACTTATTCCTGCTAAGCAGGAAACATATCACAGTCCTTTGGAAGTTTGAATAACGAAAAGATTGTTTTGTGCAAGGAACAGTTCGTGAAATAATTTTGCACAGTGTCAAACTCAGTAATGATTAAATTAAAAGTGTTTGAAACAGGGACATGGTATTCCTCAAGGCACAGTTCTTAGACCAATATGTGATCTGTGTGAACAAATATTTAAAATGATATTTACACTCCTCGTACACTGTAAGAAAAATTGTATTTATTTTCACTCAATTTCACTCAATAATGTATCAATTTATGTCCACATCCGATTGAGTGAAATTTTCCTCTATTAGTATGAGCAAGTACAACAATATTTTATGAGTGAAACTATCAGGTTTAGTTCAAATATTATCAAAATGCCCACCATTGACTGAAAATGTACTCAATAATTTCTCTCAATGAAGTCACTCAGTACCTTCTTGCTTTCACTCAGACCGATTTATTTACACTTTCAAAAATGTTAGTATTAAACAACTGATAAGTTAACATTTAGTAGTTTCTCATTGAAAACCTTTTCCTGTTGATCTGTTATGTTAAGCAAAATATTGTACACTGTAAAAAAATCAATCAAATTCACTCAATTTTACTCAATATTGTATCAATTTTCACACCTGATTGAGTGAAATATTCACTCTATTAGTATAAGTACAACTAAAATTTTATGAGTGAAACTAATTGCAACAGAAGTGAGTGAATTTTACTCAAATCTACTAACTATCAAGTGAATGACTATTGATCTATTCTGAGTATGTAAAACCAATTAAGAGTTGACTTTTCCTCTAAATTTAACTAGTATTGAGTAATTTTTTACTCAGACTTGGTTTATATTCTCTAAATTTTAATTTAAATAACATTTCTACACAGATCTGTTTTAGAGACAAGATTTTAGGTCCCGATTAAGAGAATTGGTTAAATGGACCTATATTGTACGTTACAGATATGTAAGTAAGTATATTCGATTCAATTGTTTTTAGTTATTGTAATTAAACCACTGTATTTAAACAAAATTGTCACCAAAATAACGGGATAAATGGATACTTGTCCAGCACTACATACATACACCACTCCACGAGATGACCTAACGATGACGATCGGAATAGACAAAGACAACGCACGATAACCATAGAATGGGATGGGGACACTCAATAATGAACATATTTACTCCGATTTAGCTACAAGTTTACCAAATACGAGTTTATCTGCAGAATTTATTCAACCTATATTTGAGTGAAAGTACTCAATATTATCAGAGATGAGTAAAACTATGAAAATACTCAATATTGAGTGAAAAATATAATCAATCATTCGTACTATTTTGACTTTCACTGACACCGATTTTTTTACAATTTGGATACGATCATACCCAGTAAATTCCTCCGCATTTTTACCAAGAGATAGAAGAACTATTTCTATTAACGTATAGTTTGACCAAATTCATCTTGTTCCAATTGCGCCTATCACTTTTCATTATGACGATTACTGTCAAACTTTTTTGTTCTCCATGCCAACTACATTTTATAGACAAACAAAAATTTTAATCAATAATGCATTTTTCTCGTAAAATGAACAATAAAAATGTTTTATTGTCTGTTTCTATCTAAGTAGGCCGATTCATAAACAATTACAAATTATAATAAGTATAAATTTCAATTCTAAGCAACTTTCCTTAATAACATATTTCTGTATTGTTAAAAACAAAGTCAGTTTATTCTTGAATGAATTTTATATTTACCGATTTTCTGATCACCCTGTACATGCAAGATGGAAGTTCTCCATGCCAACCGCATTTTCGAAACAAGCCAAAATTTTAATCAATTTTTCTCGTAAAATGAAAAATAAAAATATTTTCCTTCTTTTCCACTCTAACCGTATTGTAGGTATACTCTCATATACGATTTATATGCCCAAATTATTTGTAAATCTAGTTCATAGTCCT